GATCGATCGCAAGCGAATAGCCGAGTGTACGCGGTCATTTGGTGTTAAAGGTAGCTACTTCAAGGGAACAAGAAGGAAACCTCAGGAGAGCATGAATGACTACATCACCCGTAAGACTGAGGCCTACATGCGTGCTAGCCAAGCCTTGAAGCGAGTGCAACCCCACTACGAACAAGACCGACACCCGCCTGCAAGACCTGATCACCAACGTCGAGCTAGCAGTGACTACAGCAACTGGGGATGGCCAAGACAGTGGACTCCCGCGACGCAGGAGGATGGTGAGGCACCAGAGGCGGATGCACCAGATGGAGGCGACACCGAGGCCTCCACCCGTGACACCACCAATGCCGACGAGGAGGACCAATGGCGCTACTGGCGACCCTATGGAGGATTGACAGCCTGGAACACCTGGGGAGGTTGGTCATGGGGCTACGAGTGGCCTCGGTCGTGGGATAACCACGACTGGAGCAGTGACTACGCCAGCTCCCGAGCATCGACAACCAGCAGCTCGACCTCAACGGAGCTGCTCCCCCAGTTTATCCAAGGATGGTACCTCCTCGCGGACGCGAACTTGGACGACGGTGAGCGCAACCTCGTCATGACGGCGTTGGGCGGGAACTTCGAGCCTCAGCGAGTGGCACAGGAACTACGGAATCAGTTTTCGGAATCCGATGTGAAGAAGCGGGACAGCCAACGGCGATACCAGAGCTACATCGGAGAGTACCTGGAGATCTACGAGGCTGGGAGCCACGACTACGGCGCGGAGGGCCTGTCAGATGAAGGACATGCCTTGGTAGTGGACGCAGAGGAAGCTGCCCAGGAGGCCATGTCGGCGATGGTCAATGCAAGGCGGACCTTACGAGAAGCACGACAACGACAACATGCCGTGAAACAGAACCGGAAGTACTACCAAGGCAATGGAAGCAGTGGTCGGGGATCCTCGTCCTCTACTACAACACCGCCTAAACCACGGGATGACTCGGGCATAGAGTGCCTCCGTTGCGGCCAGCGTGGCCACCGTGTGGCCAATTGCCCACACAAGCCTTTGAGTGAGCAGAAGGGACAAGCACACCTTACCGAAGAGAATCCGCGGGAGCCACAACAGGCGCCCTTCGTGTGCTACACCGACACCCATGCCGGCTTTGCCACAGACCACGACGAGCACTACGCCATGACCGCCGTGCCCGAGGACGAGGGACTAACAACAGCCGAGGCTGTTCGCCAAGGAATGGCCGTCATCGACGGTGGGGCTACCCAAACCATTGGGTCTGTGGCTGCGGTGGAAGCAGTGATGCGACAGAACAGAGCGAAGTGTTGCCACAGCGGTTTACGGGGCGTGGACTACAAGGACCCCCCCGTGTTTTCCTTCGGCAACTCCACGGAGAACCGGTGCCTGAGTACGGCACGGTTGGGCATCACCGCCAACGGCACAGCAGGGGAGATGAGGATTCATACGTTGGAAGACGGGGAGAGCCCCATCCTCATGAGCATCGAGTCCCTACGGCGAGTCGGGGCTATCGTCGACTTCGCGAGCGACCTGGCCGTGTTCAGGAACTTAGACCCTGGTCGTATCGTGAGGATTGCCCGGGGCAAGTCGGGGCACCAACTTTTGCCTTTGTCAGAAGATCTGTTGGGCAATTCAGTCCCATCCCAGCAGTCCGTGCCGAGCTTGGCATCATACATGCCCTGCTAGGGACAACACCTTCCTGTTTTGGACCCTGACTAAAACAGGAAGGAGCCTTCTGTGAATCACTCTGGGGGTGAGGGGTTGAGCCATAGGGGTACTGTGAAGGGTCGGGGCTTAGAGAAACTTTGGAAGTGCCAGCGTGTGAGTGTGGATGCCATGTGAACAGACGAGTCGCACTACAGCCTGCCCATGGAGGACATTCTTGCGTTGATTGCAGCAATCTTGCAAACTCAGGACGTAGTGCCCCTCGGTTTCGTTTTTGTGTAGGTCAACATGGACAAGATGACCTGCCCTCAGATGGTACTCAGCCTTCGAGCCTACGGCGAGGAGCCACCAAAAGGGTGGAAGAAGGTCCAGCTCCTCCAGCGTTTGAAGGAGTTGGAAGAGCAGGGCGAGATCGCCGCACCGACTACGGCGAAGACAAAAACACCCTTGGAGTTGGCGGTGGCCGACCTGAACCGTGCGGGGGCCAAAAAGAGCTATCTCCAGAAGTATGTGATGGAGGAGTGTGGCATCAAGATCAACGGGAACGAGACGATGCACACCCTCACCCAGCGTGCCATGTCACACCTACTGGCCACCGTGGAACCGGTGGGAGAGGAACCTATGGGGTTCGGCAAGTACGCGAACCAGTCCTTCCAGACGGTGGCGAACAACGATCCCCAGTATTGCTCGTGGGCCCTGACTACAGCAGCCGAGGGCCAATGTTCCCAGTACCTGACAAGGTTTGCCACCTGGATGAAAATGGAAAAGGAGAAGAAGAAGGTGGCACCCAAAGCCAGAGCCAAGGTGGATCTCAGCCAGATGATGACGAAGAACAAGATGGGCGGTTACACCACGACCGGCACGGAGGACCCCAAGTCCGGCATGGTGAAGAAAGAGGTCAGCATGGCAACGCCGACCGAGGGAAGATCCCCAAGGACTTCGGGGGCGACATCCTCCCAAGCGACCATCGAGCAGCTCGCCATGGCGGTGCAGACCTTGGCCAACGAGGTGAAGACGCTGAAGGAGGAGAAGGGCGAGAAACCTCGGAAGATTCAGGCGAAATAGGAAGAAGGAAGATAAGGTTATCCGCAAACAACTCTACTTACTGCACTGCGCGACCCGGCACAGCCACCCACGTCACATGATCAAGGCCTTGAAGCAACGAGGTGCGGATCCCCGAACACTGGAGTTAGCTGAAAGCTTCACCTGTCCTGTTTGCAGTGAAAAGAAGCGTCCCCCTCCTAGGAATTTAGCTGCCCTGGAGCCCTTACCCCCGAAACTGTACACTGTGGAAGCTGACATAGGGAACTGGGTCCATCCCCACACTGGGGAAAGTGTCAACTTCATGATCATCATTGACTCGGGTTCCAGATTCAGGGCCGCCCGAATTTTGAGTCAGGGGTCAAAGAAAACACCCAACGCCCAAGATTGCCTGCGCTACTTGCAGGAAGGATGGGTCCAATACTTCGGCCACCCTCGCAGTTTGCGCCTCGATCCAGCATGTGTTTCGTAGCTCGGCAGTAGAAGAATGGTGCGACAAACATTCCATTTATTTCGACATAGTCCCGGGCGAAGCACATTGGAAGATAGGGGCAGTGGAGAATGCGGTGAAAGGGGCCAAGGAACTGATGACAAGGCTGTGTCAGTACGACCACGATGTCACTCCTCAACAGGCCTTAGCGGAGGCTATAGCCACTTTCAATCATAAGGAGTTGGTGAGAGGATACTCCCCAGCACAACATGTGTTGGGACAGGCGCCAGATGAGACGGGGCGCTTCGTGGCACATGGGCATAGCGTCCATCCCAACTTGTTGATTGAAAATCCTACTGACGAGTTTGAACGGGGGGTCAAACTCCGAGCCGAAGCCGAGAAAGCCTTGAGTGACTGGACAGCACACCAGAGGTTGCTGAGAGCAAAACATTCTCGACACCGTCCTTGCTACGACTACATTCCAGGTGAGTTGGTCTATTATTGGAGGACTCAGGACTCCAACAAAGGCCGCCGTCAACCAGGAGGTAAGCATGGACGATTTCTGGGCCCAGCCCGGATCTTGGCGACAGAGACTCGCCATTCAGAGGATGGCCATGTCAAGCCCGGAGGGGCAATATGGTTGGTAAAGGGAAGAAGCCTGCTGAAGTGTGCACCAGAACAACTCCGTCGGGCCACGGAGCGTGAGGAGCTGGTGGAGAGCTTGAGTGACCCCGCTCAGCAGCGTATGTCCTGGACCTACCACACCGTCGCCAATGAGATAGGAGGCAACCGGTACGAGGACATCTCAGACGAGCAACCTACAGTGGAGGAGTGGAGCCGAGCACAGGGCCAAGAGGAGGAGGTGCCGCCAGTGCGGTACCGACTACGCTCAAAACGTGGAGCAGCGAGGCCTACAGAGGACGAGGCAATGGAGGAGGAACCCACCAGGACCGACATGGAGGACCAGACGCCAGGACGCGAAAGGTCCAGATCTCGAGGCCGAGCCAGCCAGGCAGGACCCAGGTCCCGACCGTCCCACAGCCTGGTGGAACGACGTCCAAGCGCATCATTGGCCAGAGCAACAGGCCAGCTACTGGCAGGAGAAAGGAGCAGCCGTGGAGATCGCCATCCCGTTTCCAGAGACCCAGCGAGGCAGCGCCAAGGCCTTCAGAGATCTAGGAGCCTACATGGTCGGAAGCATGAAGCGCCGGGCAGTGGAACTCTCGGAGCATCGCATGACGCCCGAAGAAAGGGAAGCCTTTGCTGGAGCGAAAGCCATTGAGGTCAAAAACTTTGTTGCCTCCAAGGCGTTCGAGGTGCTGCCGGACCATCTGAAACCGGACAAGAGCCAAGCTATTAATATGAGGTGGATTCTCACCTGGAAGGTGAGAGAAGACGGGTCCAGGAAGCCAAAAGCACGTGCAGTGCTTTTAGGCTACCAAGATGGAGCCTACGAACACCGATCGACCACCTCCCCGGTGATGACCAGGCAGACCCGTCAGCTCCTACTCCAAGTTGCAGCATGGAAACGCTGGCAGGTCTAGAAAGGGGATGTGACTGGAGCTTTCTTACAAAGCCGACAATATCCGGACCAGCTGTACTGCATTCCTTGCCCCGAGATCTGCAAGGCACTCAACATTCCGGAAGGGAGTGTGACCAAAGTCCAGAAGGCTTGCTATGGTTTAGTGGATGCACCACTTGAATGGTACAGGTCCGTGGACCAATTCCTCAAGGAATTGGGATTCACAAGGCTATGGTCCGATGCTTGTTGCTGGGTGCTACGGGAAAAAGGGGTTCTTAGGGGGATTGTCAGTGGCCACGTTGATGACTTTCTCTCTGGGGGTAAACAGGGTGATGAACTTTGGGAAAGCAAACTCCAGGCCATCAAAGCCAAGTTCAAGTGGGGAGACTGGGAAGCCGGGAAGTTCACACAGTGTGGAGTCATTGTTGAACAACCCCCCCAGGGCTTTGAACTTTCCCAACCAAGCTACCTTGAAAACCTCCACGAAATCAACGTTTGCGCTAGCCGAAAGAAACTCCGAGGAGATCCCACTTCCGAGCGGGAGAAATCCCAATTGCGTGCTCTGCTAGGAGGAATCAGTTGGCGCTCAACAAGTCGCTCCCTATTTGGCAGCTGAAGTGAGCCTACTCTTAACCGAGGTATCTCGCAGCACGGTGGAGACCATCGTGAAAGCGAACTGCCTCCTCCACATGGCGAAGCACAAGCAGTCCTACAAAATGAAGATCCACGCCTTCAAGGAGACGGATGAGCTCACCATGGTGATGTGGGTGGACGCAGCCAATGCCAACAGGATAGATGGAGGCTCTACCCAAGGGCTCTTCCTGGGGATCACCACCAAGGACATGCTTCAGGGAGCAGTCTGTCCCGTCACCCCAGTGGCGTGGCACTCACAGAAGATCGAGCGGACATGCCGCTCTCCCGGTGCAGCAGAAGCCCAGGCTGCAGTGAATGGAGAGGACTGCTTGTACTACGGGCGCTACGAGTGGAGTGAGCTCCTCCATGGAAGTGGAGACCTACATGACCCAGACCAGTTGGTTCGCATGACAGGAGGCTGTGTAGTGACCGACAGCCGCAACGTCTATGATCGACTGGACACAGAGGTCATGGTGATCAAGGGCGCAGAAAAGAGAACAAGCATCGAGTTGCTAGCCATCAAAGAGTCCCAGGCCAATACCTCCGTAGAGATGAGATGGGTCCACAGCGAAGCCCAATTGGCCAACAGCTTGACAAAAGCTGGAGGACTACGTGAGTACGAGCTCTTCTACAAGATGGGCCATCAATGGCGTCTGGTGGAAGACACAACGATGATGTCTGCCAAGCGCAGAAAGGAACTCGGTATCCTACCACTGGAACAGAAGGACAGTTCCAAAGTTTCCAAAGGGGTTAGTGAGGAAGCATTTCCACAGAGTGATTCATTTCCGATGTGTCAGCCAGAAGTGCCCACATCCCAGAGGATAGTTTAATGTCTACCGGGGGAGGGGNNTGCAAGTTAAACTTGTGTCCCTCCTTCGCTGTCAGGAATCTCGCGACATCCGCAGCTCTTGGAAGCATCAAAAGGCCCGACAGGCGGGCACAGGGTCGACTTTAGCTCTGCTTACGTCCGAGCCATTCCGATCCGGTGCACTCCCTCGCCTTAGCTCCTGAGCCTGAACAACAGTGCTACTGCAACCGCTACCGCTTTCATACCCTAAACTCCCCACCTGTACCCTAAACCCTAAACCCTTAAAGGAACCCTAAACCCTAAACCGCTTTTCAAGGAACCCTAAACTCCCCACCTGTAGTTTCCTTTAAGTTAGAGCAAGTCCAACATCCGACGATGTCAGGCAGGCCTCCTCGGCTTCGTTTCTGCGTTTTCTGGGTGTTGTAGCTCGACAGAACGCAATGTGGGGGTTTCCGAAAATAGGGGACTCAAATATAGCACCCTAAATAGTAGGATCCCTACTATATGGACCCCAGAATAAGGTAACCCTTGTTTGGGGAAACTCCCATGTATAGACATCAGTTCTTTTAACTAAGCTTTTAAGCCTCCAAGGTATACAGAGCCCCAGCCCCCCCGCCCACCTGTGAGCTTGGTGATCAAAGTTCTCACGTGCAGAGCCAATGTGCAGAAAGCAACTGTGGCACTCAGACCGACAGCGGTACTAGTGGTGGTGGCGATCTTTTTTGACAGGTAGTAGGTGAACCGTGATGGTAGCATCAGCAGTAGTCGCCATAGTGGTAGTGGCAGTGGCCATGGCAGTGTTAGTGGGTGGTCTGGTAGGTATTGTGGTGCCCATGCCATGGAGCAGACAGCAACATGCTGAACTTTTGAATGGGAACCCAAAGCCCTAAACCGCCTAAGCCCTTACAGTAGAAGCCCAAAAGTTGGAAACCCAATATCCTCAAACCTTAAAGTGTACTGTATAGGTAATCTCAGCACTACTTCTCCTTAATCCGGTTTCCAACATTTTGGGCTGCTCTATAAATCTGTAGCGCATGCCTGGCCGCGGACTCCGACGATGGCAGGGGCCCTTTGCATCTTACTGCTGTGGGCTACCGTATCCTTCGTAGCATGTTTTGGGTTCAGGGTTTAGGGTTAATTTTCGGGTTGAGGGTTAAGGGTTGAGCCAAACACAAGCGCGGAAAGGCACATACCATGGTGTTCGCTCTTTTCCAGTTGTAGTGACTCAGACCTATCAGCACCGATGTTAAATGACGTCGTCGCCGTTAAACGTTATTGTGCTGGTAGTCGTAGCCGCCGTCCCAGTACTTACTGGCAGCATTAGTTGCAGTCGCTGTGGTGTTGGTCTCTCTCCTCGTACCTGTATCGCGGCGATTTCGAGCACAGAGGAGCACTGGGTTCGGAGGAGACGGCCTTTCCATGTATAGGGGCCTTAATTATTACCTCTACTATTTTGGGGGTTCCTTTATGTATTATAGCTATTTAGTATCTTATACCCCAGAACCCTATTTGTTAAGGCCCCTACATTACCAGCAATTCTGAACTTGGTCTAACCAGTTCCGATCCATGCGAACCGCCTTGGTCCCTGAAGACTGTCTGGTGCTTAGTAGGGAATGGGGGAATGAATCCCTATGAAAGCTCCTTGAGGTCCCTTATAGTAGTCCCTGTAACCCATTTGGCCCATTCCCCCATTCCCTACTAAGCACCAGACAGAAGAGTGTGTTTTGGTGCCCAGCTCAACAAGAACGGCGAAGGCTTCTGTTCAAAGAAAGGCCTCGCATGGCAATCGGTTTAGGGTTTAGGGGTTTAGGGTTTAGGGTTTAGGGTTTAGGGCTTAGGGTTTAGTGTTTAGGGAAATGGCTTGAAGGGTAGTTTAGCCATACCTTGAATCTTGAGCCATGAACCGAAACCCTGAACCTTGGCCACTTCAACCCTGCGCCAAGGCTGTCACCGCCAGCGCCGTATTCACGCCCTCTCGAACCGACGCCGATGCCACCTTCCAAGACTCGTCGGCATTCTACGCGGCTGCCTGGCAGAATGGAGTTGGAGTTCTTGAGCTAATATAGGGGCCTAAATGATTACCCACTTTGTTTTGGTGGTATTTTGCGGGGATCCTTACTATAACTATAGTATAATATACCCCCGAAGCCCAACTAGTTCGGGAGGTTTTGGGGGAGTTGATGTTCTGGAGCTGGAAGGTCTAAGCACAGTTTAGCCCACGGACACTTCTTTACAGATTCAGGCCCTTGAGTTGGATCCACACCCTGATTGCTAAGCCCTTAACCGTAAGAGCGCAACTCTAAACGGCATACTCCGGAAGCCCTAAACAATAAACCCAAAATCCGAAGCCCTGAATCCGAAACCCTAAACCCTAAACCCTAAATCCGAAGCCCTAAATCCGAAGCCCTAAACCCTAAACCCTAAATCCGAAGCCCTAAATCCGAACCCCTAAACCCGAAACCTTAAATCCTAAACCCTGAACCCTAAACTCCCTAAGCCCTGAATGGTAGCGCCGGGGAATCTGAACCCGGGCTCTTCTCTGCAGCCCGTAAAGTTCCAGAGAACCTGGGATTATACAGGGGTTAGGGGTGTAAGGCTTACCGTTTTAGGGTTTGGCGTTTAGGGTTTGGGGTTTAGGGTTTAGGGCTAGGGGTTCAGGGCTTACGGTTTGAGGGTTTAGAGGTTAGGGGTTTAGGGGTTTAGGGCTTACGGTTTGAGGGTTTAGGGTCGAGAGAAGGGCATGAAACCAGAAAGGACTACGGTCTGCAAGACGAACCTGCCTTTCTCAGGGGGCCGTAAACACATTGAGACCAATCCCGATCTTCCCTTTTCGGGCAGAGCGGTGGTGGACATTGGTCCTCAATCCTCAAGATCTCGCATTCCAGCTTCCTGCGCCTGCACAGGAACCAAGTGCAGCTTTTGGTGCACATTCTCACAACATGCCCCCATTGTCCGCTGGAGTCTTTGCTCCTGTACCTGAATTACCCGGCACAGCCCCTTGGACCCCAGTTCCTGTGAACACCGAGCCCGGCATCTTTTCCTCCTTCCCCCGTGGCTCCATCATCAATGACTTGGACGCTGCTAGCCCTTCTGCCGTCTAACCCAAACGCCGCTGGATCCACGGCAAGCGATCTGCTGACGAAGATGGCGCTGACTTCCCTGAGGTGGGCCAGGCGGACGACGAGGAGTGAGGTACAGGATTGCGGGGTCGCACTTAGGCAGCACGAGGAGGCTGTAGGTCGCAGCGTTATGCTTATAAGGGATACACATCTTCAGCTTGCGTCTTGCTTTGGCCCGTGAAACCAACTGGATGGCTGTAGTGCTTGGTCTTCCGAAGCACTTGACATAGGACATGCCCGGCTGTTGACTGTTGAGCACTGCAGCAGTTGCAAGCATGTTGTTCGTGCCGCAGCGTCTTCTTTGTTCTCAACAATGAGCTGAGCAATCCAAGGCGGGTAGACTCCGGACATTCAAGTATGCAGGAAAACAATGCCCCATATGCCGCAAGCAGTTGTCCGCGGGAACATCTACCACGGAGCTTACTACGGCGACATGCTTCAGCAGTGAGTGGTCCGGTCACGAAGAACATGAGCTGCAAATCTTGCAGGGCAAGCCTGAGATGCAACTTCATGTGGCGTGGTGATCAAAAAACCAATTGTGCGTCCTTTAACCAGCTCAAGGCTGCCGGCGTGTTCTTCGTCTCCCAGAAGACTGCATGGACGGTGGAATACTTCCATCTATGTTATCTTGGTCCCCTTAGGGCTAAGACCTCTCCAGGTCAAGAGTTTGCCGTGCATCTTTTGGCATCTGCAGATCATCCGCTCCAGTTTTGGCAAGACATCTCAGGGCGCCCCGGATGAGATCATTGAAAATAACCTGGATTTCTCAGCGCAGCACTGTGTAAAGTTCAGGGGCCGAAGGTCAAGTTGCTTTGTTTCCTCCCGAAGCTGTCGTCGCTGCCGTCTCCTTCGATGGCCGCTCTGGAGTCCATCGTCGCCTTCTACCTGGGGTACATACAGAGAGGACAGTGAAACTCAAAGGTAAGGGCCCCGGACAAGGAGTACTACGCGGCGCAGCGAGAGCTCCTGGAACGGGGCCTGACCCGCAAGGCCAAGCTCACGCAGCCGCCGCCGCCGCACCAGGGCCATCGGCATCGAGGGCGCCTCGCCCTTGCGGGTCCTGAAGGCGGAGCAGTACGCGCTGCACGTCCGCCTCGCCTTCGGCGACGAGCTGTCCGAGCAACAAAGGCAGGACCTGCAGGACGAGTGGGGCGAGGAGCGCGAGACGACCTTCCAGTCTTACAAGCTTACCAGGGGCGCCAGCGGCGAGCTCTCGCAGAAGTGGGGCCAAGAAGAGTTTTGGAGGAGTTTACAAAATCGAGAAGGTGCAAACACAAAGATGCAACTCGAAAAGTTCTACCAGACCGAACCGCAGGCTGGCAGTTTGCCATTGGCCCCATCTTCGAGTCTGTGCTCGGGGCAACCGAACATATCGTGAATGAGCGCAACACAGACAAAGTTCGCCTACTACAAGCCGTGCAGGACATGCCGAACATGAAGGTGGACTTGCTCCTTCACGATGATGCATGCCACTTTGAACACTACATACACAAGAAGCACCAGGAGGAAGGCTTCGACGCTATCAAGTTTTGCATAATTGGCGTGCCTCACTGTCGCAATCATACTTGTAAGAAAAAAGCCTTACCAAGCGGGAGGTAGCTCGAAGTCATGGCATTAGGACCAACATCCGAAATCCTTAACTCCTGGCTTCGTCCGTTAAACTTCTTCCTCAACGGATTACGACCCCATAGCCATAAGTTTTGGGTCCTTGAGGCATGCGCGGCATGAAAATTTTTTACCAGCCATATTTGGAAACGCAAATCATTTATACGTAGGCAAACCGCTGCGAAAAGCCGTGGGGTTGCCAAAAGGCCCAGCGCCTCCATTCGCAAAAGGCCATCTTCTATGTAGACGGGTGTAGACGGCCATTCACATGCGTGGCTGGCTATTGGGTGTCTAGAAA